AAATATTTTCCGATAAGCCAACTTTATCGCCCATTTTTTGCTTTGTTTCATAATCTCGATATAACTCACTTAATTTAAATATCTTAATTGTTACACTAAGTAATTGTTAATTTGAGCGAATTAAATAATCATATAAGTTATTAAAGTTTTGGCGCATGATTACTTTTTTTATGGAAACAATATGGACAGATATTGTTTCATGACGATTACTGATAATTATCTTTTTAATAATGTCTTAATCTGAATTTACATCTGACGTAGCGATTCATACAAGAATCTCATCGACACAAATGTAATTTGCTTACAATTTTGATATAAATTAAATTATGTATAATAAATCTAATGTCTCTTTAAAAGAAATAAAATTTACTTTATTTAGTTGGAAAAGTATATTTTGTAAATTAATTTATATTTGCTATTTTATGCCCAACTTTTACATTATATTGCATTTATGCCTTTTGGGGTAACGAGTAATTTCACTACTTCGAAGTTGTATTCGTGGAAAGGTTATTTTTTCAAATGTAAATCTAATTGTGAGTCATAAAATCAATAAATAACCCTTCACAACCCTTCACAAACATGTCACTAGTCATGACATTGTGCCAAACAGATTATAAATCTGATAGATGTTTCGTATGTCGTATGGGTAATCGGTAGAAATTATTCCATGTAACGGTAACACTGTTTTAAAATAAAACAGGCGAAATTAGCTTCACACATCATCATCATAGATGAAAGAAAGAGAGAGAGAGAGAGGGAGAGAGAGAGAGAGAGAGAGAAGAGAACGTCAAGAATTATAAAACCAATAAAGTACAAAAATTAAAAGAACCACAACTATGTTTAAAAAATTAAATTAGACTTGAGTCTACCGTTTGTCTTTAAATGGTTTTGACGTGCTGTCTAAGTGTTTCAATTTCTATAATAATACGCCGGTATTTGTTTATAAATTTGATTGTTGAAACTTTTAATAAAATTATAATTTTTTAACATCTGACGGTCGATTTGAAGTCTATCCATATTTCTAAATAAGTATTTCGAAGAAATCTTTTAAAATTTATTCAGTACTTTAAAACTTCTTTACTTATATGTATATTCCTTATATTTATCTATACACATATATTAGTTTCTTAAAGACAAGGAAACACACGTAAGAAAATATAATTTTATAGAAGAGCATTTTCAAAATTAAATTAATTTTAATTTTTATTGTATGTCTACCTGTTTTCGCTATTTTCAATTGTCATGTGTAAGCGTTGTGTGTGTTTTACCGTAAGTTTAAAATCAGTAATGGGATAAACAAAGATAGGACTGTACAATCTGGTAGTTAGGCAAATTACTGTGGTTTACTTTATTCTAAATACATTGCGAGTACATTAAATTGTTCGGCGATCGGTAGACGACTGCCGCGCCGACCAGTACTTTCGACAGGCCCGGCACACACACACACGCGGTCGAGGCATGTCACCTGTATATCGATCACGTGATGATTTGTGAGCAGTTATTTCAAACGCTTGTTGAGATCGGTGCTGTACCACGTTTAGTAATAGACACCTGCTACACAAGACGAGTATAATGGAAAAGGAGTTGTGGTATTATTTAATCCATATAAAAGATGGGTATGGAAAGTGCAGAATTTGTTCAGAACGGTTTCGCGAGCCACAAATTTTACACAAGTTAAAAGAACACTTAAAGCGCTATCATCAGATATTTGATTTAATGAGCCCCGTACCGTACAAACTATGGCGTTATTATACGAGCTTAAATGGTGTGGCAGCATGCACATGTGGTACCCAAATACCTTATATACAAGTTCCTCAGAGATTGGAGACACATTTAAAAGTAAAACATCCCGATTGGAGAAAAGAGAGTCAACATAAGTAAGTACATTATCAAAAACTTATTAATACCTAAAGCTCTAAAATAAATGCAGTAATAAAACAATCAATATCTAAAGAATATTGAGCTTTCAGTAGAGAATTCATATAAGATTTTGCAATTTCGATCGTAAATATACTTATTTAATCGTAATTAACAATTTATTGTAAGTTTATTACTACACGTGCTATATGTTAAAATTATAAAAATTACTTTGTCAATCTGTCTAAACTTTCTATTTTATCACTTTATGAACAAATATCTCTGTTGGGAACCACAATATGCGTTCGAAAAAATATTTACATTAAGGCTCCTGGTCCCTGAGCCGAGAACTCTGCGTTGACGGTGGCGCCGTACCGTCGCGGCAGAAATAAGAACTCTCTCCTCTCACTCTCTCCAATGGAGAATTCTGTCTTGTGACATGTTGACAACCTTATTTTAAGTTGCGGTATATTTCTTTATTATTCGCTCTGTACTTGTGCTCTAACGTTTAACGTATTCGTGAAACTCGTAAAATTGACCGTATGGTAAGATTTGCAAGAAATATAATGCGGAAGGAACATTCACCACTCCTTTCGATAGTCGTCAAACGGCTTGTTTTCCATATGTTTAGGCTGCGTTTTATGGCTGTTTGTTTATTGTCGAGAGAAAAGGATAGTATCCGGTCAATTTTTGAAGTGTGCTGAAACGATCTGTCGTGATTTTTTATTGAAATGTCTTTTTATTTCGGAAAATACCGCAACTTAAAATTAGGTGTTTTCCTCGCCTCGATAGTAAGAATCCAATATGGCCGCGGTGACTACCCAGGAGCCTTAACTACTAAATGGCAGCTTTTACATCTACCAGATCTTACACCTGATGAACGTTTCTCCATGACAGATTTATTTATTCCTGACAATATAAAAAAGATACGTAATATTAAATCTATAGCCAGTTACGAAATTATATGGAAGAAAGAGCATACTGTAATTGAAATGCTAAATGAATATAAAGAGCAAACAAGAGAGAATGGTGATGATGATGCTGTGGATGATAGTTTACTAACAAGTATTGAACCACAAGACTTGGTTCTAAAGTGTTATCCAGAATTGGTTGAGGTATATGAAAATACTAGGAACGCAAAAAACGAAAAGAAAACTTGCAAACTCGGAGAAAAAAGGTTACAACAACTGATAATAATAAAGATACTGAAACAAGAGATACTACAAAATCAAAGCAAAAGAAAGTAAAGAAAATATCAGAAAAAAATAATAGGAAGATTGATGAATTTATACCTGGAAACCATGCAATGTCTCTAGAAGAGTCCTTTGAAAAAATGAATATTACACCAAATATTACACCAAAAAGATCAAAGCGAGGAAATATTTCGAGTAAAGTGAACGAGTTAAAAAAAAGTGATGTACCTGAAGATGCTGCAATCATAAACATAAAACAAATGAAACGTGGGCCACAATTTAAAAGAATTCTGGAGGTAGAAAAGTTAAATTCAAAGCTAAATAACACGTATGACAAGATGTTTAATGATCTCTCTCCTGATGACTTTATGAGCGAAAATAAAGATAATGATATAGATGTAATACATGTAATAGAAAATATATGTGGCAAACAAACTTTCCAATTTAGTATAACAAACTGCCAATCTATAGAATCTACTAGCCGGTCTACAGAAAACGTTATACAAGGATGTAAAAAAATTGATGAATTTGAACCTGTGACATATACTAGAGAAGATTATGTTCATACACAGGATAAAAAACGGAAACCAGGTAACTCTGATGATGAATTTGGCGATATTAATAAATCATATATTCCTATTAATGAAAGAATACAGATAGAACAAAGCCGAAGTCAAATAAAAAAGAAACTTAGCTTTGATTTTGAAAATATTATGGACCAAACTAATAACGATTTTGAAAGTATTATGGATCAAACCTAAAACGAAACTATATGTTTAGATACGTGATATTATATAAAGCATGTACTTTTTAATTAAAGTTTTTAATTTTTAAGAAAGTTTTTAAATATATAAAAATAACTATTTCGCATTATATCTGTTAAATTTTGGTTTTTAAAATATAATGTGTACTCCAGTCAATATAGATAGGATACTTCAATATTATACACTTTTTTTTATATTTGATATTTAAATTAAATTATCTTAGGTTGGTATGCCACCTATTTTCTTACATTTCTTTTTTTTTTTATAATAAATATTATCTTATGACTTATAGAATTTTCGATATTCAGTTCTTTCCCATATTTTACAAAAGTTTTCCTTTGGTGTTTCCTGAGGTAAGGGGGGAAACACCAAAGTTCTAGTGATTTTAATAGAAGTAACCAACAGCGTCTCTAGGCTTCTATGTTCCCCTCTTATCTCAGGAAAGGACAGATCGTTGACGCGTAGCGTACATACATGCATACACGCGAATCTTTTATCAGTCTTTTTTAAATCTTAATTTCATCAGTCTTTACAATGGTGATAAGTAAAAAATTTTATAGCAGAATCCGCGGATTATTTATCACATGGATAAAGACACTAGTTATAGTATGTTCAACAGGCTTATGACATGATTACGCTGCATATTTTCATATTTTTCGCACGCTCCGCATACGTCAATAAATGTCGTGCAATATTAGCTTCTTCAGAATAGATCGAGTTTTGAGAACTTCCGCTAGCAATACTCTCAGCATCAATATTTTTCTCTAATTTTCTCGTCCAATTTTTTAATTGCAGATAATATATATGTTTTGCTAAAAAAAAGAAAAAAATAAATAACTTAAAATTAATGTTATTATATTCAACACAATTATTTCATCATTTTTTAAATAGATGGGAATATTTATTACGAATATAGTTGTACAATTCTAATAATATATTTGGTTAAATACTCACTGCTCCGATATCCGTTCTCGAAGCAATGCTGCTTACAAATTCCGTCCCTTTAGTTAAAATAATAATAATAAGGACAATATGCGAACCACTTAGCATCCCACGGATCATCTTTTGGCTCCCAATACTTTAATCCTCCACCACAGAAATAGCACAATGTTTTATCGCCCGTGTAATAAAAACCAGCAGTTGCTAGTGTCTCTTTAGTTTGCGTCATTGCTTTAGGCCATCTGTCGAACGAGGCTAATCTCGCAGCATAACTGATATATTCGGGATGCTTCGGTATTGTTGCTATTCTCGCAGCAAAATTGATGTCAGGATGCTTTGGTGAGGCCATCCCTCTCAATTTACAATTCATTCTTTGTAAGTAATCCTTGGTATATATTCCACATTCATCCACTCCTCTCGCACAGTTTAAGTGTTCGTTGCATTCGGTCATTTTCTTAATATATTTTTATAAAGATGCTATTATAAACCTGTAAAGAAGAAATAAATATCAATAGATGCTTAAATTTAAATGAAATAAGAATTTGTCAACAATTTTACTCAATGTATACTTAACAAACAATATAAACAATAAATACATTATCATCTAATTAATATTTAATTCAATATCCAGCATACATATTAGGCAATATCGGAGTCTCTTATTTTAACCCTTATTTGCCACACTGGGATCAAATCAACCCCACGACCATATTCCCTTAATTTTAAGTACCGAAACCTATGAGGAGCGGGTCTATAGCGACATCTGTCAATAGTTCAAGCAATGAATTTTTTTGTAAAAACAGCCATTTTTTCATTTTTCTTTTACTATTTTAATTTTTGTATCATACATAATTTTAATTTTTGGCTATATAACCTACATAACTTTTAAAAGTAAGCTTTTAAGAAGTTCTAAAAAAATTAGCAAGTTAAAATATTGAATAGCTTATTTGTTATAACAATTTTGGTCGCTGGGATAGATTCCACCCCAATGTGGCAAGTACGTGACGTCTACAGAAGTGTGGCAAGTAAGGGTTAACAAACATGTCTAGACAGCCAGGTAGCTTGTCAGGAACAGATTCCTGTAAAGTCTTTGCTACAAATTTTGTCAGCAGAATGGCCACAAATTTGAAACAGAATCTGACTTATATTATGATATTGTTGGTAATACACACTGGCAGATATATAGCAAAGTTTGTCAACCAAATATGATGGCAAAAATCAAACAGACTGACATACTTGTTATACTATTTGACGCAGAGTGGCAGCAAAATTGAGTAGAATCTGCGTTTGTTCTGCCAATAATCAGATTATGTTAGCAAAATACTTAACGTCGCCTGTCCTACGTTAAACTTTCAATACAGGCTGCGTGGGCTGCCTCATATCGTCGAAACTAATAATTTTGCTTACAACATATATATATATATATATATATATATATACACACACACAAGACTATAAATTTATTATCATAGAAAATAATACTTGAAAAAAAGGTATAACAATGTTTCCACGACAATGGTACCTACATTATACATAATATTTAAACATTAATACATAATTTTGAAATATTCTTATAAAATATTGTATGGTAATGATTTTTATGAAATATTTTATGATGTTACACGTAGTAACAAAGATATCAAATATAGCCTGAATAGAAAAAGTTCAACGTGGGATCATGGCGGATTCATGCGTGAGGCGTGAGGCGCACGTGACAAGAGCCGTTATATAGATACAATTGACGCTAATTTTCCAGAGATTTCCGAATATTTCCGATCGAGTTTGCTGACATACTGTGGACACTACGGACAGTTCGTTTACCGGATGCAACTGCATGCATAAATGTGTGTGCGGTAAGTACTTGTCGAATACAATGTCGACAGGCGCGTGGTGTATTTAGCGAGCCAAAAAATATGTAAGAATGAATTTTAACTGTTATTCTTAGCGACGCTATTTTTTCCTGTGTGGAAAACACCACTTATCGCTCGCCTGATATATTTTATATTAACGCGAACGAAATAAGAGAAAGAAAAAAAAGGACCGAGAAAATTCACATCTAACGTTCTGCATCGATAAACCGGGACCACAGTCTTCCTCTTCTTGTATAATGGCCTTTAACAGTACTGCTCCAAATATGGTGAAATATGGCCAGGACGAACTGGACGAACCTCAGCGGCTTCTTCTTCTTCTTCTTCTTAAGGTGGAAGCACATAAAATTGCAGGAGCCTTGAGCAGAATGCAGAAGCCATATGCGCATGCGCTGTGGTATCTGTAGAGCTCTACAAATACCATAGCGCATGCGCATATGGCTTCTGCATTCTGCTCATGGCTCCTGCAATTTTATGTGCTTTCACCTTTAATGTTGTATTGGCTCCTGCCTCTACACGAGGTCAATATGGCCAGCAATTGCCCCTGTTTGCTTAGGCAACTGAGAGGTGCGAACCTCAGCGGCGTATCTTGTCCGGCTTGTCCTTGTCCCCGTTGCGTTGTAGTCGACGTAGCCGTGAGCCGTGAGGACGTCGATTCCAGACCAGACAGGGCGTCAGGTGATGGCCGCCGCGGATGAGCGCGCGCCCGGCGTGCCGCGGCCGAAAACGGTACTCGAATGACTGATTTCGAAATCGATACGTGATTTGGTTTACATGATCGAATTTGAAATCGATATCGGTTATCGAATTATACGATAACAAGACCGATTTCAAAATCAGTTGTTTCAACGTAATGATTACTTGAACCGAGTCGCGTATCGATTTCAATATCAGTTGTTTCAATATAACAATTACTTGATCTGAATTTTACGTACTTTGTTCGGAACTAAAACTTCCTCGCACAGTTCTAGTGGAGACCAATAGGTACTTTTCAGTACCTATTTTTATTGATCCAACGAGAATCATCCCGGTTGTTTCACTTTTCAGAGTCAATCTTTCTCGGTGGAGACCAATCGGCACTTTTCAGTGCCCATTATAATTAATTTGACGAACATTGATCTTGATTTTCGCAATCGGTATTTTTCAATGCCATTTTAAATATAACTTTACGCTACATTGACACTTTTCTATAACAATATAGCTGTCAAAGTTTTTTTTATAGTTTATGTTATGGAAAAGTGTTACATGTATTATTTTTTCTTTAATGTCTTTTTGTCAACTCATAATCAAAAGCAGTGCAATGCGCGACAAAGACATATTGAACGAAAAGACTTATATCTATCTTTTTTATTAAGTAATTTTAATTATGTTTTATTTTGTTTAGATTTGTCAGAAAAAGTTTCAAGACTCGTCCTTTTCTTTTTACTCATGGACCGAAGACCAGAGGAAGAATAGTTTTTAAAATAAATTAAAATTTTTTTTTACATTTAATATTATTTGACATTTATTATATATATATATATATATATATATATGTATATTATAAAACCGACCGCGACAGACTTTATGACAAAGCGGTGAATGTGTAAATTCAGAACGGGTCAAATTAAAGAGCCAAATATTTTTTTCATTTTTATAAAATTTGTTATTACATACCTTGAAACTTTTGCTCTCTGGCAGTGAAAAGTAATTTAAAAACTGTGCTAAAATTCGGAACATTGGACGCCATGGCACACAATCTCTCTCTCTCGTCTTAGGTAGTTTATAAGATTCATGAATACAGAGCTGTCTAATTGATTCTCCAGCAAAAAGGCAAACGCATCATCGATAATTTGAGCACGATTGAGAACGTGTATTTTCGTGTATTCCTCAGAATTCAAGTAACGTATGATTCTTTCCAGATTTATAATATCACAATAGACACGACAGTATGCTGTCGAATTATCCATTAAATTTGTTATTAAATCTCTTTTTGTTTGAAATTATCAAAATATATTTTCAAATACTCGCATTTTCTTTATCGTATTAAACAAATTAACGTTATATATATAACTTACAAATATTACAAAAAAGTGTACATTAATAATTTACAAGATTTCGAAGGATATAATTACATAAATTTTGAAGTTTCTTTTTAATAAAAAAAATACATAAGAACTTGAATAATATCGTAATGATGAAGCAAATAAATCGATATAAAAGAGTGTAAAATTTATATTATACCAGTTTGTTGTAGATTGACGATAATCCAACCTCTTGTATTAATTTGCACTCTAAGAGTTTCGTCTGGTTTTAACCAATTATTGGGCATGGTATTAGAAAAATCCAGAAAACTCTGGTCAGTTTAGGATATGGGTATCCACCACTTATTATTGATATTTTCTGTTGCGCGGACACATTGTTGTGTTATATACATTTCACCAGTTTCATAATTTATCGTCACATTCAGAACAGGATAACGATTTTGGACTATCTATCACTTCTTTTATTCTGAATTTTTTATCTTGCATAGAAGGGACGTAAGAAGGTTCGTCTTTAGCACTTTGTATGGCGCTCCACAAATCGTCGGGAGTGGCCGATATATATTGCCTAAAGAAAAATGACATTGTCAACAACAAAATAATGCATACGTTGTATATAAATTTACTTTTAAAGAATCACCGTGAGTATTAGTGTACAATTTAATTATGTATATGTGGAAACTAAGAATATAACTTAATTAAAACTAGCTTAGTTAAATTACAATTAAAGACTAAAATATGGTCTCTAATCAGTAGCATTGTATATCGAACGCACAGATTTATGTTTCAGATGTGTGGCGTATCATATTTTCCAACGTAAATACAAAAAAATATTATTTTTATGATATTTAATACTGATATGTGTTAATTATATTAGACTACGTTATACGCACTTACTTTGTAACAAAGTACTTGGTGATACCCCTTCGAAATACCTCGTCGCCCACTACATGGTATAACATGCGCAGTATAGCTGGAGCTACGATAAAATACACAACATAAAATACCGATTAGTAATATATGATATAGTACATATAAAGTATATTGTAAAATTAAGATATAACGTATGAATGATGTAGAGGTATTGCGTAAAAAGAGAATTTGTTTACTGTTAATTAACTTTCTGTTCCTCTTTCTTCGTGCTACCTGCATTAAGATGTTCACGGGCGATAGTTTAATTATATTTACATAATCTTACCTTTTTTATAAACTTCATTACCAAAGAGTGTGCCATGATCCAAGTTGTAAAGGTTCAATTTAATAGAATCCATTAAGCCAATATCTAAAGAAAGAGACTCGTGTATGGGCCCAGTAACGAGTAAATCCATTGTCCCCCAATCTTCAAATATCTATTACAAAAAATAATTTTTTGATATGGCTGAATATAAAAATTCGAAGAAAAGTTTGCATTTATAGGGATATAAACGCTTATGTACTACTTGTCCGCCACTTTCAAAAACTTCACCATTTTATTTTTTATTATAATTTATCCATGCCAAATATTAACCGTTTTACGACTAAATTTTTTGAGAAGATCACATACAGTTCAATTATTTTTTTAAATATTGGAGATTGTTGAACACAAAAACATAATCAAAATATAAAAATTTGAGTTAAATTTTTTTACTGTATTAAATGTTTATTGTAACGGATGCAAAAATTAAAATATTTTTAGGAACTATTGTGTTATAATTATAGACTTAGATCTCAAATTTTTAAAGCGGCAGATGCTAAAAACAAAATATTTACCAATTTTATTAAAAATTTGTATTAAATTATTTTTATAATTGTTTGAAAAATGAATGGGTTACAATCTTATTTATAATTCCAGATTGAAGAACGTGCCATTATTTATATTTAGCTCCGTCTTGATATATTTTATGAAAATTTGGAAAAACTTACTTTCTGTTTTTTTATTTAATGAGTAATTCATTGCATTAGTAATATTAAATAACCTTGTTGAGAAAATACTCCTGGAAAAACACAGCAAATCCCTCGCTTAACCACAGATCAGACCACCAAGATGGGGTGATAAAATTGCCGAACCACTGATGTGTGATTTCATGTGCTACTAACGATGCTATTTTCACTCTCCGAAATGCGGGATCTTTGCTTTCATAGTAGACAACTTTTGATTCGCTAAAAGGAAAAACATAACATAATATACATGATGTGATTAAGCATAGTCTTTCTCATCGTTAGCATGCAGTCTAATTTATTTCGAAGTAATGAATAATTATAACACATTAATTAAACACTTTAATTTGAGACAATCTAAAAATGAAAATATGTAAATAAAATTTGAATATTCATGAAACAAATGTTTCTTTAATTATCAAATGTGGAATACTAAAAGTAATTAGGTAGCTCTAAAAGGTTAATATTAATTTTTTTACTTACGTATATTACTAATCCTTCTAGTTATGTGTATCCTACTCGTAAATAATAATGATTCCCCAATGTTCCATGCCGTCGACGGGGTAATTTGGTATCATGACGTGATCTATTTTCGGTACCCCTTTGGTTCTATTGGTATACTCCTCCAAGAGCGGCGTGATCTTTTCGGCAATACTATACATGAATCTTGTTTGTGATGTCAAAGACGATTTGCACCATACAAAATCGGACTGGTCTACGTTTCCAATGCGAACAAAATTAGATACAATCACAATTCCCACGAGATAAGCGGACATTGTAAAAGTGCGATTGAAATGTGTCCACATCGTGCCATTTTCTGCATTGTACTGCTCTCGTATCGGCCAATTCGACAATACCCTGTATTCCTGATGATGCATCACGGAGATCATGAAATAAGCTTTTATCGCTGGCTCGTCCCAACATGGAAACATTCGTCTGGCGTTATTGAGGCACGTTGCGGCCAACCTGTAATTTTAAACAATTTTTCAAATAATGACAACCACTCATGACGAATAGAACGCAAAAGTTTAGAGAACACTAGTTATTGCGTTTATTATTACATTATACGTAATAATTATTTTGTTAAGAATAGAAAAAGAAATGCAGTTTTATTTTTAACTGAAGTTAAACGTTCTTCTAAACATATTACATCATGCACTTCTTGCAAATACTTTATTGTAATTGTACTTACATAATGGAAAACAGTTTTAATAATTGATACAAAGCTACATGTTTAAGCAATGTCTTGCCGAACTTTGTATGTTATAAGTTGATATACGATAAAAGTAATAAATAAAAGAAAGCAATAAATAAAGGTAATAACAAATATAGTTTACGTATGTACATTATAAGTACATTTTTAATATTTTTAATGTTTGCTTACGTGCTGTCTCCTTCTTTGCTGTTTATGGAATTTTCATAAAACCATTGCCTAAAAAACCACCCTGAGAAAAATTACCAGCAAACTTCATGTTCAGGGTGTAAATACCGCGATATAATTGATTGTCGAAATGTAGCGTCAATATATAAGTTTCATCGTCACAAGTATGTGCTATCGGTTTATAGATATTATAGTGTGATTCATCAACGTTGTCGCTGTTTTATTTATTTCTAATTCTTGCGAGTGCAAGCTTATGTAAAAGGATGCGTAAACAATGTTTACGGTGACACTGGTTTCACCGTGAAAGGTGTTCCCTTCTTTGAGATGAGGAATAATCAGACTAATGTTAAAATCAACTGGTATTGCGTTCACGGGTAAACGATAGATATATTTTGGATCATCAGCGATAATATAGTCCGTGATTGTAGCCAATATTAGGTCGATTTGTAGTAACAATTTTGAGAATTCCATGTTAGTACTCGTCGTCTTAGGTGTCTGTAATTTTTCGTTGAAACAAAACAAATAATACAATTCAGTTTAATGTATAAATTAGATATTGCATATTAATATAATTTAATATTAATTTTGATACGAAAATAAAAATTACCAAAGAACAGAAAAAGAAGAAGAAAATAATTCGAGTTGAAACGTCTAGAATGTTTTGCCTACCTTTGGACAATAAACTATAGAAGCTATAGGTTTTAACAGTAACGTTCTTTGGCTGCGGTCGGATTCACGCTCACAGCGCTGTAAGCATCGCTCTATCTATATATATGTATATATCTTCAACGAGAGATAAATAATTAATTATTATTGCTTTTAACGACTTACTTTGTATATTATAATTGTGTGTTGATTAAAATACTGTTCTGTGCAGCAATTAAGTTATGCGTTGTCGCCACGAAAGCCGTTATTATCAGGAATAGCTCAGCGTAATTGCCGTCTTGCCATCTCGAAAGATTATCGAATACTAACTAAAATGTTAATCTCTGATATTTTGATGATAGATATATCATGTAAATACACAGTGCCTCACGCAAGTGTTCGACTCGTACCGTTACAAATTTTTTTGAATATTTGTGAACAAAAATATTTAGAGAAAGATCATATATCATAAATATGTGTTTGTTTATATGTTAATTTTAAAAAGACGTTTTCGCAGTTGATGTGCTTCTTCGAATCAGTTAGATAATACTTGTATAATACATTTTTCGTTAAGTACTAGCTGTAAGATTATGTCGATATAGAAGATGTCTCTTACCAAATTTTGAACTACGAATTTTTTGTTCTCGATAATAAACGTCGAGGCGCACAGAGTTCCTGAGTTATGAACGATTGGAAAGGAAAAGCTTATTGAGAATTAAGCTCATAATTAAAACAGTTATAATATATTTTTTGAAAAATATATTTGTATTATATAATTTATAGCCATTTTATTTCAGAAATTCACACAAAGCTAATAAGAGAAAATGAATTTAGTTTAAGGTATATATTATAATTATACTCTATAATTGTCAATTTTATATTAAATTTGATATATTCAGCTACAAAGTTATAATAGTTATTTGTGTAACAAGTGCTGTAAGATGAAAATTGGACGTGCGGAGTGGACGCAGCAATTTCAATACTGCACTCGCGTTATGTTCGTTTGACTTGAATGCTCGCGTTATGTTCGTTTGACTTGAAGTTTCAGCTTTGTAACAAACTTAAACGAAATTCATGCGAGACAAAACGTCAATTTGTAACGGTATTCACTGAATACTATTTCTTATTTGAATTTAATTTCAATCTCAAATCGAACTTTCACAACAGGCATTACAAAAAATATTGTAAGTATGTGGTATTTGCGGAAGATAACGTTTTATATACAATTCTTTAAAATTTAATTAATTATTTCCCGAAAAATTGAAAAAATTTTGGATACCGGTTCCCAAAAAGATCGGTAACAAAAAACTACTTACACTCTCAAAAAATTGGAAAAATTTCTGATACCGGTTTCCCAAAAAATTGGTAACAAAAAATTATATACTTTATGACACTCCGCGGGAAATTCTACCCCTGATTCATATACAATTCTTTAAAATTCGGTTAATTATTTCCCGAAAAATTGGAAAAATTTTGGATACCGGTTCTCAAAAAGATCGGTAACGAAAAACTATGCACTCTATAACACTCCCCGGAAAATTCTACCCCTATTTTATATACTTTTGGTAAAAATTCGGTCAAATAGTTATATAATTCCAACTTTTATCAAGAAGACTATATATAAGATTTACTTCGAGCAAAATAATGAATATTTTTTTATATATAACATTGGATACATTTCGATGTACTCGCAATTAATTTATTCTGTTACTCTTATATTTTTTAAGAATAAAAAAAATTAATTTAATTAGTTTTTGAAAAGGATTTTAGGCATCTAATTGTAAGTGACGTGTGTACATTTGACTGTATAAAATATTTCGTCATTAGAAGAAAAAAAGGTAAGTACATTTTGTTAATAAAATTTGAATTATTTAGTTATCGGTTAGCAGTTGTTGTAAAAAAAAGCAAAAGATAAATTTGTTCCTTATGTTTCATTTGCGTCCCAATATATTTTCGCCTAATATCTATTTAATGTTTATTAATTTTGGTTATTAAATTTCTTGAGAGAGATTTTTGCTCGGAAGTTATTAGATAGAATTTAGAAATTATAATTGTCAAATAATAAATAGATAAATATTTGTCAGATGTAAAAACAATATGAAAAAATCAAGAGGCCAAATATCAGCAAATAAAAGTTGTATTATTGTTGAAATATTCTAAACACAGAATAATTTAATTTATTGAAAGAAACTTAGTATAGCTGAAACGTTCAGAATGTTTTGTCTACCTCTGGACAATAAACTATAGAAGCTAGGTTTTAACAGTAACGTTCTTTGGCTGCGGTCGGATTCACACTCACAGCGCTGGAAGCATCGCTCTATCTTCGTTTGATATTCGATGTGCAACGAAGACAGAATGATACTTACAACGCTGTGAATCGGACCGCAGCCTTTATTTTCTCGTATTTGGCCTTTTGACTTTCTTATATATATGTATAATTTTCGTTCCTCGGTTTTTAAATAATAAATGGACCGAAAAGTAAAAATATAGAATAGATAAAAAATCTTTGATTGATTTCTAAAACAAATTATTAATATAATTATTAATAAAATTGTTTTATTTATTTATAATAATAATAATCTCGTCTTTTGTATAACTTTAAATTTTGTTCTACGTTCGGAACGCTATGTGTTAAGATTTCGAAATTATATTAAATCTTTCCAGCTCTCATTTTGCCAGCTCACGCAGCAACAATAAGAAACAAAATATGTCGATTAATGTAAAAAATATATATTTAAAATAAAAATTTACAATCCATGAGAATAGATAATCTCGACGAAATAAAATGAAATTTAATTATGTGTGTATTTTGTCTTTCAAAAAATATAAATATATATCTTCAACGAGAGATAAATAATATAATTAATAATTATTGCTTTTAACGACTTACTTTGTATATTACAATTGTGCTGATTAAAATACTGTTTTGTGCAGCAATTATGCGTTGTCGCCACGAAAGCCGTTATTATCAGGAATAGCTCAGCGTAAGTGCCGTCTTGCCATCTCGAAAGATTATCGAATACTGACTACAATGTCACTCTCTGATGTTTTGATATATATGTCATGTAAATACAATGCCTCACGGAACTGAAAGACTCCGCACCGTTACACATTTTTTTGAACATTTGTGGACAAAGATATTTACAGAAGGATCATAGATCATAAATATGTGTTTGTTTATATGTTAATTTTAAGAAGTCGTTTTTGTTAGTTGATGTGCTTCTTCGAATTAGTTAGAAAATACTTGTATAGTACATTTTTTGTTAAATACTTATTGCTGTAAGATCATATATCGATATAGAAGATGTCTCTTATCAAATTTTGAACTACGAATTTTTTGTTCTCGATAATAAACATCGAGGCGCACAGAGTCCCTGAGTTATAAACGATTGGAAAGAAAAAGCTTATTGAGAATTAAACTTATAATAGTTATAATATATTTTTTGAAAAAATATATTTATATTGTATAATTTATAGCCATTTTATTTTAAAAATTCACACAAAGCTAATAAGAGAAATTGAATTTAGTCTAAGGTATATATTATAATTGTACTATATAACTGTTAATTATGATTGGTCAATTTTCTTACGGTTATGACTAAAAATTTGTTACGTGCAATGGCCTTTACAGGCGTACGAAACAACTTGGAGTAATTTGTAATGTGTAATATTAATTTTATAATTTATTGTACATGTAGTACAAGAAAAGCAGGTTCTATAATGATAGTTGAGAGAATTTACGGACTGATTTTTAGAAAATATATATTTTAGAATTTTACTGTAATGTTTGACTAGAATTGTAAATTGTTTAAAACAGAAATCTCAGTTTACGACGTCGCAAAAATGTGGCTTGAATCCGCTCAAATTCGTGCGCAGAAAATACAAAATCTACCGGCTCCAAAATTGTATGCAGTGGAGCTTTATATTATTTCCATTAAATTATTATTACATAATTAGATGACATAATTACTTATAATAAATTACTTATAACAAAAATAATTATGTATTTCTGATAATAAAATAACGTAATTTTGGTAATAAAATATATTGCGAATATATCTCGAAGCCACTGAAAATGCAATTCTTCTAGATTCATATTAGTAAAAGCCCGCAATTTAATTTAATCGAATTACTATTATCTATTATAGTCCAAAAGTTTTAGAAAATAAAAACAATCTAGACGATTTAAAAAAGAAAAATTTCTTCTACTATTATATATCGTTACAAAGTACGCGAGATTAAGCATGACGGCATGATGCGCTAGCTTGGATATCACAAAATGACGGCCTTTCGCTTGCCTGCCACTGCCGCTGTCCAAATATTACAAAAAATACGATTGATTAAAAATCGTTAGCTTATCGCCGCAATATCGTCTCGTTCCGTATTCTGCGAAAAATCAATCTGATGACCCTTCATGTGGCTGAGAGCGCGCACGCTTTCGAAAATCACGTGACGCGCGCCTCATTAGTCGGTCACGTATCTAGGAAAAGCCAATCAGGATGAAATTCTATCGCAGGGAGACAGCGCTCGACACTCTTTTCGGATAACATTCGCCGGTTTAAGTTAGTCCTTGAAAAGTGCTAGGATCGTAAACAATCGTGGGGCGAGAAGAAGAAGTTTGAAGGTGCGATACGAGAGAACATTACAAAGAAAAAACTATTCGACACGTAAAGGTTTTACATTCTGTTTTGTTTCGCTGCGACGATCAGAATAAAAGTTTGCCGCGTATGACGTGATTCAATTCGACATAATATAAGTATTCGTAAAAAAAAACGTAAGATTATTACATTTTGTCCGAAAATACTTTCACATATCGTCGAAACAAGTAATGCGAAAACTATTGTATAACGTGTTTAAGTGAAACGGTGAAAGAAAACGAGCCAGTAGTTCCACTATAGGATTGTTAAACAACATACAAGGCACGAGGCACGAGGCACAAGGTTGAGTAAGTTGCGATTAGCGCATTAACTTAAACGCATATTTTTTGATGCATCTCACGACTAATCTCATGTTGCATGAAGAAAAAGCGACAAATGCCATGGCACTCTAATTTTATAATAAGTCGTAATTTTAAAATTGATTCCAGATAGAACGTACTTTAACGATGCGATAATAAAGTTTCCTTTTTTATGTAACTGAAAAATTAAATTTTGTGAACTGTGATATATATATATATATATATATATATATATATATATATATATATATATATCCAATCTCATCGAAATGTGACCCCTCACGAATTTAAAAATACTGCTGCTCGAGTCTTTATTTTCTTCTGATATATCCTTACATTACCGACTATTGTGCCAGTCTATTTATACAAAACACATCCGAACTGATTTGAAAAGACCAACGAACTGGATGTGTAAAAAAAAACTGATAAACAAATACTTGGTTGACGGCCCGAGTTAGATGTTTTCATATAAAGAAGAACGTTGAGATTCAACATAAACGTTGAGATTCAACATCACGCAAATAAATTCTTCGCGCGTCTCTGATAATATTTGCACGCTTTTCCCAGACTAGGTGTAAATCGCGCCAGATTTTTGCAACAAAGCAAACATAATTACATTTCTTGCGATAAGACGAAATAAAATATTTAAATATAATGTCATAAATTGTTGCCGATCCAAACTCGAACTTTCCCTTTCGCGATCGACAATAAATAATTGAATTAAAGTCAGCGAGTTAGAGGTATTATTCAGTCATAATTATAAATTCCAATAATCCTTTTTATGTGAAAGATAATTGTTCGACAATAAAACTGTCTTCCAATGCTAGTGAAAGTTAGCACTCTATAATATAAAAATTTTGGCAACTGTTGTTTACAATTCATTTACAGATCTTACACTAGCAATTGCATTGTTATTTTTCGATCCTTTAATGTCTCATACTTGCATATAATTATTTAGAATTAATTTCATATATACTCTATGCTTTTCGCATTTAAGATAATACGTATAAAATATCACAGAGAGTCTTCTCACGTTGAAACATATAAAGCATCATATATTTTATGTTATAGAGATATTCCACCATGGCAGAGTCAAATATGACTGCACAAAAATGGAAAGAGAAAGGTAACGAAGAGTTTAACAAAGGCAATTGGTCAGAAGCATTGAGTGACTACACAAACGCACTGAACCTAGTAGACAACAACGCTGAGAAAACAGTGTACTACAAAAATCGAGCTGCCGCTTTATTAAAGCAAGGCATTTATGAGGAAGTTATTAAAGAGTGCAACAATGCGTTAAAGATATGTTGTAATAAAGCATTGTATCGCAGATGTCAAGCACTAGAAGCGTTAGAGAGATTCGAGGAGGCACATAGGGATGCGGAGATTATTATTTCATCTGACCCAAATAACAAAGTTATTCAGCCCGTGTTGACGCGCTTACTTGAAATTGTACGTCGCAAGGAAAACCCACATCTTATTATTAGTAGTGACAAGGTAAATACACATAACTATTACAAAAGTTTATTAAGTTTACTACACGCAAGACATGATAATTTGATCTAAATAATAAAAAAACAATAATATGTTCTTCATACTAGATATATTAATAAGAATTCTTGTTTCACTAAATACTAAATTTAATTTGAAAAATTGAATTAAGTTTTTCTTATTATATAATTATTAATTTCTGTCGAGATTAATAGTCTACACACACTATATAAATAGAAATTATATGATATCTACAAATATTATCTCTCACAGTTATTTATATTTTTAAAATAAACTAGCAGTTACTTATATTTTTATTACACATTATTATGTTTAAGCATAGGTTACTTTTGTTTTGTATTAGCTATCACAAATGCTAGATTTAGCATTTAACGTGAGCGCAGATGAAAAGAAACGTGAAACCGTTATGACTAATCTGCTTGTGCTCGCACGTGACGAAGCTGTTGCCAAGGAGATATTCCAGAAGGAAGGTGTATCAAAAATCGTACAACTTGTAAAAGTAGAAAAGAATGAGAAAGTGAGCTGTAGCGCGATTCGTATTGTAGGCGAATTATGCAAAAACAATATTAATCGAACCGAATACATTGTGCAATATGCTGGATTGTTTTGGTGTTTGGATATAATGAACAGCACATCTACAGAGAAAATCAACGCATCTCAATATTGTTTACAGGTAAATATTATCAACTAGAATATAGTCAGCATACATTTGTATTTCAGTAATTAATTTATTGTATAATTCTGTTTCAGACTATATTGAACACTTACAGCGGCATGAATGATAAACCCGATTCAAAACCCAACGAAACATTGTGCATAATGCATAAAAAAAAAATTGACACGATTCTGTCGTGCTTGTTGAATGCGAGTAGAACGATAACATCAGGCCTTGCTAGAGACACATTAATAGAATTCATTACGCGTAACATTAATCACACTGCGTTAAACTGGGCCGAACAATCGGTTGACTTTCGAGGTTTGCAAAAATTAATGGAAATAGCCAGTGAAATGATGGAATTTAAAAAGAACTACTCGATTGACATTACATTTTCCACGCAAACTGTAATCAGTATGTGCTTAGCAAAAATATATGAAAATATGTACAGTGATGTTGCTAAGGAAAAATTTAACAACGCCATTGACGAATTTATTGAGGATAAACTGTCTAAATCTGACACAGAATCCAAAGTATGAATTTTGAAATTACCGGTTTTTTTTAATAACTCAAATTAATTCAAAACAAAGTTTATAATCTCTAAAATTTATAAAATTCAAATTAAACTCTATAATCTCTAAAAATGTCAAAGAAAATTTCGTTTTCAATTGTCGATATTGTATACTGTGTAACTTACACATATATTAGAATACGAATAACAGAGTTTAATCGAAATTTATTGAGTATGACTTTATCATCTATCATATTTTCTGAAGCATAATTTACTAAAAATTTTTCATCAAAATTAAATACAATAGCTGCCTTGATTTATTATGATATATTAATCAAATATTGCTTCACGTAAAAATTTATAAATTGTTACTTGATTGTTTTATAGGTGCGCATAGTACTTGCGATAAAAACTTTAATATTCGGTCCATTAGATGTTGCGGAAGCAGTTATCTTTGAACCAGAGATTTTTGAGATGATCTTTGCTATGTCAAAAACGGATGACACATTGCAACAGAAAGTGGTTTGCGAATGTATCGTTGCCGCTATAACCAAATATAAAAAAGTCAGTGTGTTTATACGTCGAAGTGTAAATATATTGGAGAACCTGTATCAATCTAAGGATGATTCAATTCAAATTCGAGCGTTAGTGGGTTTTTGCAAGTTAAGCAAATTTGACAAAACCATTTTGAGCGATTGCACGACTATCGAACCGTTCGCAGATGGAGCGACGAAGAAATTGGCCAAGGTTTGTACACAAATCTTAATTAATTACAAAAAAAGAAGGGACATTAGAAAATGGGCCGTTGAAGGCCTGTCGTATCTTACTAGCCACGTCAAGGTCAAAGAGGAGTTAATCAAGGACCGACAAGCCATTAAAGCGATGATCGAGCTCGCCGAGACTAACGATCAATCGGTTATCTTCGGCCTGACTATTATATTGGTGAACTTGTGCGGCACTTATGACAAGAAAGAATTCATACCCGAGATGACAGAATTGGTAATCTTTATCAGACGTTATTTTTCCGAGGAATATCTGACCAAAGATAACAACGACTTTGTGAAAAAAAGATTATGCGTGTTAGTGAATGCCGGTGTGATAAGCGCTCTGGTGAACCTCGCTAAAACGGACAGCTGGAACTGCAAAGAATTGATAGCTCGCGTATTCAAAGCGATATGCAGTCAACATAATTTGAGAAAAATAGTTGTTGATGAAGGCGGTACGGAGGCATTGTTGTCATTATCGCTGAATGGCACAGACAAAGGAAAAAAGTATGCTTCGCGAGCCCTGGTCCATCTAGCTTACACGATACCTCCTGGAGTTGCAGTTTCTGGTCAGATAATCATGCAGGCTGTTCGGCCGATCCTAAATCTCCTGAACTCGAAGTGTTCCGTGAATAAGAATTGCGAAACTTTAACAGCTTTGTGCAATCTAGCTAGCGTCAACAACAGCATGCGAGAATATATATTCAAGGAGGCAGGATTTGAAAAATTCGAGGACTATATGCATGACGATAACAACATGTTGAAACGAAAGGCCGCGCAACTCATAAACAATTTGGTATTATGCCATGAAGTTGCTATCCAATA